GGTTTGATTTTCATGTGCCTTTTTGCTGTAGCTGGGGACGATACCTCCTGGCTGCCATTGCAGTTTGGAGATGTTCCTCGAGGACCACTGCCTCAACGCTGATCTGAGTCGGCCAGGATTACCCGTAACTTCGTGCCACTGACGGAGAAGGAGATTGATCGGTTACTGCACGGTGGCCTCACGGTTGCATTGGATGCAGAGTTCGTTGCTATGGGCTTGGCTAGCGTCGAGATACGAGAGGACGGCAGCAAGGAAGTGTCCTCGCCTGGCGAGATGGCTGTTGGTCGAGTGTCTGTGCTGAGGGCTGATCCCACGAATCCTGATGATGGGGATGAAGGGATTAAGGAAGGGACCCCATTCATTGACCACTACTTGCAAATAGAAGAGTCTGAGATCAAGGACTTCGTCACGCGGTTCTCCGGTAAGCTCGTACTACGTCGTCCTTGTTACAGCTCTCATTCATCTAACTCAGGCCTCGTTCATGGTGACCTCGATCCCAAAACGTCGAGACACTGGTTGGTCAGCAGTAAGGCAGTGTGTGAGAAGCTGCGCTTCCTAGTCGATTGTGGTTGCCGCTTCGTGGGCCACGGTCTCTCTACTGACTTCAGGTGGGGACACGCGTTATGAGTGTCACCATAAAAGGTATATTTTCAGGATTATCAACCTGTTCGTACCCCAGCGTAACATCCGTGACACAGTTGAGCTCTTCCATTTGCCTGGGCAACGGTATCTATCACTCAAGTTCCTAGCGCAGCATCTTCTAGGAAGCTGCATCCAAACGGACACACATTGCAGTGTTGAGGATGCGAGGGCTGCCCTCCAGCTCTACCGCAAGTACGTGCTCATATGCTTTGTCTTTATGAGCTTCCCTTGTAGGTATCAAGAACTCGAGGCTGAGGGTACTTTAAAGGACACGACCAAACAGTTGTATGAGATTGGTCGGCAGCAGGGTTGGAAGTGAAGTCACCATTGACAACGCCTCGGCAAAGCGTCAGTGTTCGATATCTGGGCATGTTTAGCATCAGAGGGAGCTCAATCACTGCCACTGTTGATCTTCGACTAGGCTTCTAGATGGCAGGAGAGAAAATCTCACAAAATTGAGGGGCTTTATTTCATTACACTCTCTTGGCCTCCTTGATCGTGCAAAGCTCTGTACATTAGTTTCATCACCATCATCACTGCATATTGCGATTACCATTTTCGTTTTGTGCACCGTCCTCATTCAAACTACCATCCGTTCTACTATTCCCACTGCTATTGTTGTCGGGGTGAAAACTTTCTCATGCTAAAGGGCCCGGTCAACTCGATATCTTTATTTCATTCACTCCATGTTTGTTGTGGTGATTTATCCCTCTGATGAAGTCGGTGGTGATCCTGTTAATTACGATCGTTGATGATACTTATGAGGTCGCAGTAGTAGTACTAGTCCGTGCATTGTCCAACATCATATCTGCAACATTACCATTATTTCATACTAACGGCAATCAACAACTGCCACTGTCATTTTTACAGTAACATCTCCAGAATGACATCCTATATGCACTTGAGTTGCATCCCTTTAAATGGTCGCTTAGTCGTGGTAGATAGCCGTCCGTTAGGATGAATGGCTGCTCCAAGAGGAAGTCTCATCCGATTCTGCCGGACTTTAGACGAATGGAGTTACACGCGAAGTTCCCTCTGATGCCGTGAGTCTATTGATGAGCCTCCCATTGGAGGATTGAGCTTGTTCCTCAGGTACGGCCAAGGAAGAAGAATCATCCAGCAATTCAAATTGGGATGGGTAAGAATCCAAGCTTAGTGGACATGAAATACTTTATGATTTTATCAGGCTAACTCTTCCACACATCGTTGCCATGATACATGGCTAAGGTTCAGGAACTGTGTATCTCTAAAACCTCAGCGATTCGTGGAGAGATGCCAAGTTCAGGCAGCATTGTGAGAGCATATCTTTCTCCACTATGACGGTCTTGAAGACTCTAGTTTAGGCATTTGGATTGTCTCAAGATGCATGGTCATGGTAAGGCCGACGAAGCTCGAACAGTCCACTTTCGAAGGTCGGTGGCGACTTGCTGAGTTAGAGAGTTTGGAAGGCGATGTGACCACAGGTTCTTGGAGAGATTCCGAGTCTTCGATGAGAAATACTATAAGAATAAGAAGTATGCTGACCCAACAGTCAACTCTCATGGGGAAGGCACTGTCTTTCAATTCACCAGCGCTTCGTCAAATCCTCTAGGAGGTGGTGCTTGGTGAAAACTGCCGAAGATTCTCACATTACAGCGTGGATACTTAGCATGTTTCTGACAAGTTCATAACTTTTGCGTTGTCATTCGCAGAAGATGTTGAACGCGACAACCTTATCTTTCACATCTGAAATGGTGATGTCTTTCAACATAGCAAGGCCAGCACCATTGACCATGCAACCGATGCTACCATCCAAGCCAATGTAGTTGAGATCCCATTCAAAGGCGGCAAACATCTCTGGGATCCTCTTGGCTAGCGTCTCTTGGGAGAAGATGTGCTTCTGCCGGAACTGCAATTGTCATCAAAATTGACCTTAGCGTCACATACCGTAACACGGCCATCTTTGATCTCAGCGCGGGGATTGATTTCGACCATAGTACAATCCGACTAGCGGAATGTCTGGTAGAGAGCCTGAATAGCAATGACAGCCTCATCAACGATTTCACCCTCGAAACCGATCTTTTCGGCCATCTCCCTGGCCTCACCATCGGAGATTCCATTATCGATGTCTACTGGTATCTTGATGATGGCGTCGGGGTGTTCAGCAGCAAC